TCCGCAGGGTTCATCTCCTTCTCGTCTGGGACTTCTTCAATGTCGTTGTCGATCATCGCTGTGGATCTTGTCGCTCTCCTTCTCGCCGCGGATCCTTCTCGCCGCAGATCCTTCTCGCCGCGGATCCGTATCGCCCCTTCGGAGGTCCTGCGTCGCTTAGTCGCGAAGATCTTCTTCTCGCCGTGGAGCAGTGTCCGCAGGGTTCATCTCCTTCTCGCGTTCGCGTCGACGTAGAGCTAGTGTGTGTGGCGAGGGCGGGCCCCTCTGTCTTTGTCACCACGGATCTCTCTCGCCACTTGGGGGTTCGCTGTCGTCTGTGTCGTCTTCTTCTCGTCGCGAACCAGTCTCGCCAGTGTCGCCCCAGTACTTCGGTACACGTGGACGCATAGCTCCCCAGGGCGGCAAAGGCGCTTGTTCGTCGTCGGTGCGAACGCAGGCGTAGCCACAAACGGCCATTGACGGAGGCGGGAAGCATGTCTGCGCAAAGCGGCGTCCGTGGCAAGAAGCGGGAAAACATCCCCGCGGACACTCAAGGGCGGGAAAGGGGTCGGCGGCATGTCCCCAAGGCGAAGAGGCTCCGTTCGGAAGAAGCATCAGCAAGCCTGCCTCTTCAGCGAGGGCGAAGTTGGGCGGCAACCAACGAAGAGGAAGATGACGACGTGTTCACGACGAAGGAGGAAGCAGCAGAGGACAACGTGCCGGCGCCTCGAGGAAGCAGTCTTCAACGCTCATCTGATCAGAGCGGTGCGAGGAGATTGTTGACGCCCCCTCCGGAGGCGCAACAAGTGCGTGCGCACAACACCCCGAAGGCGAAGGAGGTTGTCGTCGACGTCGGCGGTAAGGACGACGAGCCGTTGGAAAGCCGTAAGCAGCGCAATGTCATACAAGGCGCCACGGCGACAGCAGTCAGGATACACGCCACGAATGAAGAAAGGCCACCTCAGGGTGGCCTGCCCTCCACGCCGTTCCAGCCGCGTCCGCAGAACACGGCTGCAGAGGAGGGCTCCATGGAACGTGGGGGAGGGGAGGGGGCCCAACAGAAAGCACTGGTGGCGAGTGGGGGGGCGATCGCTGGTGCAGCCGCGGGGTCTTCGGGCAATGTTGCTGCTGCGGCGAGGGCGAGAGAGGAGGTCCCAGTTGTGGAGCGGGAGGTGACGCATGGCAACAACAAGGGTGAAAGGGAGGATGAAGACCCCCTTCTAAGCCGGGTTCGGAGGGGAGGGATGGCGAGAGATCTGGCCGAGCGTGCCCGCCTGTGGGTGGATGACAAAGCATTCTGGACGACGGGGGTGGGGCGAAGGCTGTACAACATCGTCCCCAAAACGCGGGAGTACTTCGTCGCCATCGCCAACGGGCTGCAAACGCCCGCCGTGCCCAGGAGCGTCGTCATGTCGAAATCGTCCACGACCCTGACAAGGATTGCAGATCCCGCACAACTGCAGCAGGCGATCGCCCGCGCGATGGCAACGGAGAATATTGCTCTGCACGTCTTGCACGGATGGGTCTTCAAGTCCGGGAACCGCCCCCAAGGATTCAATGTCGCTTTCCAGTACGCGCTGGAGTCGGTGGCGACGGACACTGCCCGCGTCATGTGGTAGGGCGAGGAGTGGAGCAACATCGTTAGCGCGGCCGTTTGCGCACACACAATCGACCTCAACATGGACTTGCCATTGTGGTTTGCGGGCGCGAACATCGAGGACAGGCCGGAGGACGACAACATGGCGGCGCACCAGGAGGCGACCGTTATATGCATCGCGCATGCATTTCGCGCCGCGGTGCAAATGGGTGGCATCGTCGACGGCGGGTTCATCTCGCACGATCGTCTGTCAAGAAGTGCGGATTGCTTCAGGCTTTTGTTGGCTGCCTGCATGTGGTTGATGCGCATGGCGGGAGACAATCCGCGCAGCCACTACGAAGCCTTTTACTTCGCGAAGCTGGTCGTGAAGCCCACTCTCGTCGTGTCCATGCATCACGCCTTCGATCATCGACGGTCCGTCATCCGAGCCACGAACGCCGTCACGGAGAGACTAGGGAAGGCGAACGCCACATTCGGAGACTACCCGAAGTACATCGCCGACTGGGCTTCCTGCGGCATCGTCTTCGGGCACGATGCGACCATAACGGGGCCAAAGGACGCGAAGAGGAGGGATTGGTTGGGTTCGGGCCCCTTGGAGGACGACGACGACGACGATGGAAAAGAGGACGCGTAATGGGGAGGTTGGGTGGGAGAGGGTGTTGCTGGTGCTGACACGTGCAGGGAACGGGTCGCGTGTTCCGGCGTGGGTAAGGGAAGTGGAGAGGGGGGAGCGCTTGGCGGCGTCCGAGACGCAGGTTTGGTGGCGCCATGTTACGATAACGGATTGTTGATGGCCTCTCCCTTTGTGTTTGTGTTTTTACACCGTGTCACTCGTGCTTGCAGACGCCCGACGTTTTCGGTCGTCAAGTCTGGCAGGGTGCTTGATGCAATTGCGGTCGTGGTTGCTTGTGGATGTGGATGGTGTTTGGCTACCGATGGTGGAGAAGCGACGGTAAACGGCGCTCTCTTAAGCAGATTGTAGGAGCGGAGTAGGTTTCTGCGATGTTCTTTTGTGTTGTTGTCGGCGCAGCTTGCGGCGAGACAAGTTGATCGCGCTTGGAGCGCACCTTTTTTTTTATATTTCAATTCAGAAGGAGATTTCGTCAGTTTTAAGATCATGACTAATCACTCATCACACACCGAACGGTCCTTGCCTTCTTGGATGCACATTCAGACGTCTCATCTTCATTTGCATGTGCCATTGTCGGTCGTTGCTTTGTTTGGTTTTTATTTTTTTTTTCCTCCCCCACTTACTCCGAATGACAAATAAAACATGTGTTTGTGTTCCAGTCCAACACTCGCATGAAGACAAAACGCAACACATCAAACAACATGCGATGTCCCACAAAACATATTGTGAACATGCAATGGCACACTGCATCAACGCAAAGAAATAGCAACGCACAATATCAACGCAATGAAATACGCACACACACAACGCCAACACGTAATGGAAATCGACAATACAAACTTAGAAAGGGATTTGCGATGTCGTTCAACAATTCATAGCGGAGAGTTCAAATTCGAAGGAAGGTGGGGGAGAAGTTTCAGGCCCACCCGACCAACAATGCTCTATCCTCTGTGCCCAAATCGGCGCACTTCACACCCGCAGTGCGCCGTGTCCACACTACACAACTTCAACGACAATAACAAAATTCAAGAAAACGGACGGCGACGCACGTCCGCGAATCGCGATGGCAACCAAACACGACCCTCGACGCAAACTACCGACCCCGACGCAGGACAGAAGCTAGCAACCCAATCAAGGCTGGACGGAACAACGAATCTGCCCTCCGGCCATTGCTACAATGAACGTGCTTCCACGCGCTGCTGTCCACCATGGGGAACACGACCCTCCACGCAAACCACCAACCCCGACGGGGTACAGACGATAGCGACCCAATGAAGGCAGGACGGAACAAGGAATCTGCCCTCCGCCCATTGCTGCAATGAATGCACTTCCACGCGCTGCCGTCCACGAATGAAACACGACTCAATCGTGTTTCAATCACTCCGCCAAAGCATCCCTCAGCGCCAACGCTTCGTCTGTCGACGTCATCATCGACATAGGCTGGAGGGGCTCTTTGATCCCCAGGTCCACACGTCGTCGCACACCATTAGCGTCGACCTCCCATAGCAGATTCTCGTCGAAGGGGATTCCAGCGTCGATCAGCATGTTGTGCAGTATGCACACGGCGGTGAACTGCTGCGGGAGCGTCTCCAGGTTTGTCTTGTGTGTCCGCAGAAACAGCCGCCACATGCCCTTTAGCCTGCCGAACGCCCTCTCCACCGCTCCCCTCGCCACCTTCTGTTTGTTGTCAAACCGCTCCTCGTCGACGTGCTGATTGATGCCTCCATACGGGACGACCATCCATTCGGAAGGGGGGTAGTCATTGTCCGCCAGAACGTACCCGTTCGTCTTCACACCGAACGGCAGTGTCACGGGGGGACCACGGAACAACGACCCCTCCTCTGCGCGCAGCGACAGGCTGGACAACTGCAGCACCTTGATGTCGTGGCAACTACCTGGGTATCCCATGTGCACGTCCAGCACACGCAAGTCCAGGTCGACGACAACCTGCGCGACGATGGAGAAACGGCGCTTCCTGTCGTAGTAGTTTTCGCTCGGAGCGTTCGCCGGCTAGTTGACGTAGATGTGAGTACAATCAATGCAACCGTGGCAGTTGGGGAACCCTTCATCAGCAAACGCACGCAGAACGACGAGTTTACGAAATCCTGTCGGCCACGCGATCTTCTCTCCGAACACCCTTAGCAGCACGATAGTAACGTTGTGGGCGACAATCAGGCCAGAAGCTCGTCCAATCCAGAAGTTGCACGTGCTGCTCTCGTATGTCTCCCCTGAAGCCCACCTATACAGCGCGTACGCCACAATCTGGTCCGGCTGCAAAGGCTCCCTGTAGAACGYCACCCGCCACTGAAGATGAGGCGCACACGCCTCCGCGATTTCCCGGAACACTCGCGACGACATTCGAAGCTTATCCCGGAAGTAGTCATCTGTCGTGTCGTCGCATTGCCTGAGGTCTTCCCACGTGCCTCCTATCCTGCGCTTGACCCACCACCGCGGTGTCGCACGTGGTGTCACTCCGCAACCCAACACGTGGCACAACTGAACAACAGCCTCCGACATTGCCACGTATTCGGCCCCATCGCACGGATCTTGCGTCAATTTCCTCCGTCTATGCGCGCGCAACTGCTCCTTCAGTTGCCCCAGCGCCCTCTCTTGCTGGCATCGAAGAACGATCGTGGACACGGCCGTCGCCACGGCCTGCAGCTCACGAGGAGTCAACACATCACGTCTACCCTATGCGCCGCACTCCATAGCCGCGACGTGGAAACGGTCCCGTTGTTCCGCTGCCGTCTGTGTCGTACTTCTGCACGCGACGAAGAAGTCGAAGACATCGGTCGAAAGGCGGCCCCTTTTCTATGCTTACAGTCCTGCACATGGCAACGAGGAGCAATGCGCAGTCAACGTGTGCAAGGTCCATGGCGATGGAAGCACCACACGCTGCCCGCGCAGTCGCAACGGCCTCGGGACGGAACCTCCGTCGCCGCCGAGCCCCTTTCCGCAGCATGCCACCCTCGCGCCGCCAGGCACATGTCGTCGTCGTCGTCGCAGCAGTCGTTCGAATTTTGAATTTCAAATGCCCACGCCCTTGGGGTTAAATTTCTTTTCGCGTCGCCCGCCGTCTGCCGTTTCCCGCCTCGCGTCGCTGGACCACGCCGCCTCCACACGGACAAAAGAAGCTGGACCAAGGACGATCGACCCCGCGACCGCTAATCTACGTATGAAAATGGCCGCGGGGAAGCCACAAGGAAACATCCTGGGGGACGTCCCCAAGGATGAGTGGAACGACGCCGCAAATTCCCCTAAAAAAACACAAGGACGTTTCCTTGTGGCTCAAGGAAACCGTAAGGAGTGTCTAACGAGGCCCATAGTGCGTCACACAAGTCTCGACAAAGAATGTGAAAACAGATTAGAGTAATGCTTAACAAATGCAGTCTTCAGTCGATTAGGCTTCCCGGATCCGGTTTCCACCACCACCACATGGTCATCATTACTCTACTCTACTCTGTTTTCACATTCTTCGTGGAGACTTGTGTGGCCCACTATGTGTGTGTGCATACTCACACTTGTGTGATGCACTATGTATGTGTGCATACTCACACTTGTGTGATGCACTATGTATGTGTGCATACTCGCACTAGGACGTCTTTACTTGTTTATGGACGTCATTGCTGTCAGATGCATCCAGGTCTGGCCGTAATTGCAGGGAGTGTGAAAACAGAGTAGAGTAATGATTAACAAGTGAACTCTTTGGTCGGTTAGGCTTCCCCGATCGTGCCTCCACCCCCGTCGCGTGGCCATCCTGAGGGGGGTTAACTGCCAAACTTCTCGCTTGACCTTGTGTCATCACTACTTACTCCCCCACCGCCGTCGTTTCCACTCCGATGATATCCCGAGATGTCAGAGTGTTCGCTATCGGTGTGTGTCTATGCTTCGAAGAAATACATCATTGTGTCTGCCTAGACACGGCAAGCTCACAAATGTGGTCTTTTCCGACCGTGCTTCAATCAGGGGTGAGCTGGGTAGGTTCCCACTTAGCCCAGGTGCCCACAACCACTGTCCGGTCGGGTCACCCCCGTTGAGATGATAGGAGGTTGACAAAATCCTGAGTGGTCGGGTCACCCCTGTTGAGATGACAGGAGGGTGACAAAGTCCTGAGTGGTAGTCACGGAGGTAGGATTGTGGGAGTAGCGGTGCCTACAACCACTCAAGACACCCCCGTTAGGATGATAGGAGGGATGACAAAGTCCTGAGTGGTAATCACGGAGGTAGGATTGTGGGAGTAGGGGTGCCTACAACCACCGTCCAGTCGGGTCACCCCCGTTAAGATGACAGGACAGTGAAAAAATCCTGAGTGGTAGACACGATGTAGGATTGTGGGGGTAGGGGGGCCTACAACCACTGTCCGGTCGGATCACCCCCGTTGAGATGACCGGAGGGTGACAAAATCCTGAGTGGTCGGGTCAACCCTGTTGAGATGACAGGAGGGTGACAAAGTCCTGAGTCCTAGACACGGAGGTAGGATTGTGGGAGTAGGGGTGCGCCAGGGAGAAATGATGAGAGCGGGTGGGGGGAGGGAGGCTCTGTAGACCATCTAGATGACCTAAAAGGAGGATGGGCCTTCAATTTCCCCCGAGCACAATTGGTTGGTGTAGGTTGCACCCCACGTACTTGCCCCGAGCCTGGCATAGCGCCCTTACAGACTAATGACCTCAATAGTTTAGTGGGTAGAGCTCTGATGTTTTAACTTGGAGGTCCCGAGTTCAACTCCATACTATGCTCATTCATCATGTCTATATATATTGTTCGTCATATCAGCTAGGGATGATCTTCTGAACAGGATTTGGGTGGGGACGTGTGCCTTTCCTACGGGAGAGTTCACGAGGGATGGATGCTACTGTCTCGGGTCGGAGAGTGGTAAGGGGTTGTTTGGGTGCATGTTGATACCGTGGTAGTCCTTTGGTGGGCAGGGGTGCCTTGTAGGGAAACCAATGTCGAATTAAGAGGTGTGTCCTACTCTCGATGTCAGTAGACCCATTCTGGGGTGGTGGGCTATCAGAGGTGGTCGGGGGTAGTTGACGAGGGTCGAGGTCCCCAACATTACCACTAAGTCGATTCTCCCTAGCGAACAGACATAAGCAAGGCTCATTAGTAGCAGAAAAGCAACCACATACATCCATATATGATATCACACTAGGTCACAGAAAGCAACCACATACATCCTTACAGACTATGATATCACACTAGCTCACATAACAACCAGCATATTAAACAACCAACAGTAGCCACATGTGAACCGCGGTGCTGGGTTGGTACTTTGAGGTAGGGGGCTCATGGGTTAGACCTTGGTTAGCCGACCATTAGACACTGCCTATGAGTGCCCTCATTGCTCACGGGACTAGTTGAGAACTATGCGCCTAGCTCCCGAGGTTCCCGTATAACGAGGCTTGTACGCTAGGGCCTCAACTGGGGCTGAATGGGGGAGCTCATTCAGCGTCAGTGCCCACGTCTGCTGTCTGGTCAGGTTGCTCCAGTAGAGAGTGATGTTCCTCGCATGAGGTAAGATAGAAATGGAGTGGGGGTGCTCCAGGAGATATATTGAGAGGAGTGGTAGGATGGGGGTCTCGTGAGTATGTATATAAAAAAAAAAAGGAGGATGCTGATGGTCAGGGGAAAATTGGATGCGAGCGCCTGTCCAGGGGCGAGGTCCCACTAGCAAAGAAAATTAGAATGAACGCCTGAATGTGGATGTGGTTGTGGAGAGGTGCAGAAGATTGCGATTGATCTCCATTTATGCATCTCAGCTTAAAACCCATCCAGATACGGATGCTTAATCGAGTCCCCGCTGGAATAATGTCAGATTTTTATTTTTTTGGAATTTTTTAATTGTTCTATAACTTCTAGTTTAGTTAAAAAACGGCATAGCCCATAGTATAATACTATAATTGCATCCGGCAGGATTTTTTTTTTTTTTTTTTTTCCTAATATGTTATAACTCATAACTTATAAGTTTATAACTTCATAACTTTTATCAAGTTTTATGTAAGTTTATAGCTTTATGAGTTTATAACTTTATGAGTTTATAACTTTTTTAAGTTTATAACTTCATATATAAGTTTATAAATATAAAGTTATAATGATCGAACACAGTCACATCGATTTCTATGTGCGTAGCATTCGGCCACCTTTTTTTTCTTCTTCTTTCAATTCTTGACTTATGTGAGTCATCCTTGAGCAGGGGCCATGCTGATCATCTCTGTATTGTTCCAATTTTAACTGACATCCCGAAGGACAGCGTGCAGCCACCTTGGCCAGCCACAGTGACCATGTTTTATGTGTGTGGCATTGAGCCGCATCGGCCAGAGGCACAGTGACCATGTTTTATGTGTGTGTGGCATTGAGCCGCATCGGCCAGGCACAGTGACCCTTCTCTCTTTAGGAAAGCAAAAAGAAAGATGACCATTTTTTATGGTGCACGGGACAACGGTTTCCGACTGCTCAGGTGGAAAATCAACGCACATCAACACCTGACAGTGTCTTCTTTCTTCTCAACTTTATTAGGCACAGGTGGCCGGCTGTCCAGTGTTCGATGGGCATGTGGCACGAAAAAAAGAGGCCTCTGTTAAAACATAGGCCGCTCTTGTCTGTGATTTCTGAGACGAAAATGGAATCCAGAAAATCAAAAGTTTCTCCATCCTACTGTCACAGCACATATGTGTGTGTGTGCGCGCGCGCGCGCGCGCGCGCGCGCGCGAGAGAGAGAGAGAGAGAGAGAGAGAGAGAGAGAGAGAGAGAGAGAGAGAGAGAGAGAGATCTGAAAATCCACCTTAGCACTGGTTCTTTTGGCCTTTAAGTTTCGGTAGCCAAAAAACGAGAGACTGGCGGGTTTGTTTGGCGGACTTGAAGTCGAACCTGCGCATGAAAACGGTTGTCATACAGAGAAATACGTGGAAAGTTGCATTGTATGCAGCTTCACAAGTTGTTTGGCCATCATGCCTGTGTGCTGATAGACATGCGACTGTTCATCTCTCCCTCAGAGCTCTCTGTCATGTTAAGCTACGATGCCAGCGCACTTGTACTTTAGCCATCGCTACTCTCACTCTCACTCTCACTCTCTGCCTCTCTCTTGTCTGCCTCACTCACGCAACTGTGCCCTACCACCTTCCCCCGAACACAATGCACTTTCATCATGACCGTGTCGGAAGGTTAAAATGGCTTGTATGCGCTCATAATCGGGGTGCACTATGTTCGGATGGGAAGACGGTAGCAGCGATCCAGCCTCTGGCATCGTAAGGCATAATGAATGACGGAGAGGAGGCAGGCTGGTCTTTTGAAGTGTTGACTCCGCTGAACCTGCTTCCAGTTTGCCTCCTGGAACGCTGACGTTTCTGAATCACTGATCTTGTGCGGCCCAGATGTTTTCGCAGCCGGCATGCACCTTTTCCGGGCCGACCTCGGATGCCTCCGGGCACAGATTCCGGCCCAGGCCGCCCAGAGGCAGGGCCCACTTTCCATATAGGAAAGTGAGCACCCAGCCAGAGGACATTCTGGCTTTGCAAGACCGGGCAGCCACGCTGCTGCATTGAGCGCAGACAAGCTGCCTGGGCGCTGGGCGACCAGAGGGCGCACGCGTGCACAGAGGTGGAGGGCGCAGCCGATCGGCGGGCGCACAGCAGCCATAGCCGGGCTGGCCGCACGCAGGCTGGTATGGGCGATGGTGGTCTTCGAGAGTGAGGGCGCACACTGTGGGAGAGAAGGGGGCGAGGTTGGGAGGAAGAGAGACACGCACCTGGTGTATGCGGCTGTCTGCATTCGTGACATCGTCACAAACATTGGTCTTCGGCTTGAAGTTACTCCTTTTGCATGTTGTAGTGGTAGGATAGATAGATGCTGAGTAGGATAGGCTGGGCACTGAGCGCCAATCAAGAAGGGTGACATTGGATACTATGTTGGTGGTGGCGAGAGAGGGTCGACATTGACATTTGAGTCCATTGTATTTCTCTTATTGGGCATGTAGCTCGGTGCATTGTGCTTTCCGCTTGGTACATGACTATCTGGTCTTCAGCGTGATATTGCAATTTGGTTTTCTGTCTACTGCTCTCGCTCATTTTCCTTGCAGGTACAACTTGCTGCCTGCTGCATTATGGAAATTGCACCGTTTGAGCCCCTTCAAACCAATTCGTACTCTCGTTTAGACAAAACACCAGGGTTGCATACCTGCTGGCCGCCAACCCCAACCGCCGACCGTTTTGCAGCCAACCAGTAGGGCCGACTGGTGGGCGGTCTGCCTACCAGTCAGGAAACAGCCATCCACTGTTTTTTTTTCAGATCTGAGTTGGGGGCTGTACAGCACTTGCTGAGTACAGCCCAAATCCGCTGAGAAACTGTTGTGKGGGGGGGGGGGTAAKGGGGGGCCTGGGGAGGGAGGGGTATTGGGAGGTATAGGGTGATACAGGGTTGATATGGGGGGTGTTCGGGGGAGTATGAGGGTGTTGGGGGGTGGTTTGTGGGTGTTGGGGAGGTGTATGGGGGTATTGGTGGGATTATAAGGGGTTCTGGACCCAAAAAAAAAAAAAAATCTTTCTTTTTGCAGGGTGCCGACGACCCCCGACCGGTAGGTGCCGACGACCCTCGACCGGTAGGTGCCGACGACCCCCAACCGGTAGGTGCCGACCAGCCGACCGGCGGCTGGTCGGCAGCCAACCAGTCAAGGGCCACCGACCGTCGGGGTATGCACACTGCCAAACACACTATCTGGAGGCAAACTCCAACTCTGGCCATGTTCAGCACGGGCAAAATAAGAAAAAAATTGAAAAGCTTTAAATAACTGCACCTTGTATAGCAATCCGTGGCTGAGAAGATGTCTTTCCAGCTTGCTGGCAAAGTACGCTCTGGCAGGAAAAGAAAAAAAGTAAAAGAACGAGTATCTTGATTCCCCTGTCTTTTGACCCAGTAGTCCCAAAACTCGTAGCTTCTGTGGTCCAGGATCGGGAAAACCAACAGGTTCCATTCTGTGTGTATGTGTGTGCGTGCATGGGCCCAAAACTTGTCGCTTCGGTGCTCAAAAACTTGTAGCTTAGGTGCTCCATGATTGGAAAAGCAACAGGTGCCACTCTGTGTATGTGTGTGTGTATTCTTTGTCTGTCGTCATGTTTGCTATAAACCACTCCACAAGAAAGGACGTGTGTGGAGATGTGTGTGTGTGTGTGTGTGTGTGTGTGTGTGTGTGTGAGAGAGAGAGAGAGAGAGAGAGAGATGTGTGTGAAAACACATGAAGGTTACCCTCAGCTCAGGGACTGTGCACAACCCCATGCCACAGGAGCAAACACACATCGGATTTCGTGCGGCGTCGTTACAGGCAATCCTAAAAATCATCTTTTAGGATTCGTCCTAAAGGGTCTCCCGAAGCCGGTTTTCATATGCGTATACGCAGCCGTGTCGCCAATGTCCGTCCATTACTGCCAATGTCCGTCCAATCCCCACCAACGGCTACCGTTCGTGGTCGTTGCCCACGTCAACCCGCAGAAAACCGCCGATGTCCAACCACTGACCCGACGAACCGCTTCTGCACCAGCAACTCCGTGTCGACGGTGCCATGCGCACGACGCAACGAGTCCATGAAACGCGGGAATCCTAAATTTTTCAGTAGGTCGGGGGCTACTGGAAAATTTGGGACGATTTTGCCTGGGGAATCCTAAATCCTTTAGGGCTCGTCCTAACGCCGTTTTCACATTTTCGATCTCAAAATTGGATTTAGGATTGCGTGCAACCAAGACGCAATCCTAAGAACAGGCACTTTTAGGAGTGTCTAACGAGACCCTAACAGGAAAACGCCGACCGCATCCGCCAATGGTCTAAAAAAATATAGAGAGCCCTCTCAGTTGGCCTACAAAGCCACCACAAATCAAGCAAACACCACAGGAACTGTACACACAACACCAAAAGCGCAATGGACCTCCCCCTGCTGGACAACCTGCAGAATCAGATGGTCTGATAGTGCTGCAGCACGGCCACTGGGCCTACTATGCCAAGCTCCACAAGATCTCCACGTGACACCATGAGCGCTACTGCCTAAAACACCCTCGAAGGCACTCCATTTCTTGCATGTACTCCAAACCAGCAGCCCGTGAGAATGACACCAACAGCAAACACTCGCTGAGCGTCCTCGCGAAGATACCGTGGCCGGAACTCCCAACACACATTCCCACCCCCCCAAAAAAAAACTTGTGGCCACCCACGAGCATTCCTTCATCGAAAATACAGCCCATGCTGCAAAGCAGGGCAAAGAACTAGGCCATGTATCGTAAACAAAACCAACAAAACAGATCATGTATGTGTGTGTGTCTGTGTGTGTGTGTGATGATCATGTGTGTACTTGTGTGTACCATAAAAAAATAAGGAACAAAGAAGCTGACGGCAAGTTGCCTCTTTTTCAGGATGCTATCTAATCGTGAGTCAGCTCGAAGATCCCGGAGAAGAAAACAACTTCACTTAACTGAATTGGAAATGCAGGTATGTGCGTATGTTGTGTCTTCAGCCTCGGTCTCCTTCTCCTGCCTTTGTGTCGTTTGCCTCCAGCTTCCCCTGTTTCCCTTTTTAGTTCACCTGTTCCCAGCGATCGATTCCCTTTTCCCCTTCTGTTCTTCTCCTTCTTTTTTGCTGTCTTTCTCACCCCAACCATTTCCTCCCTGGAGTACCCTGGCTGGCACACCAAAGGACCACATGATGTTGGGAGAAACTTCGCAAATTGGAACTGCCATTGAAGGGGCATGCCAGTGTAAGCTGGCTGTTCGAGGGGCAGAGCGCAAATAAACGCATCTTCTGAGGGGCATAACAAAATTTTTCCCTAAAGCAGGAGGCTTTTTTTTTGTTTGTTTCTTTTGTTTTATTTCTGATGCACCGCTTGAAAATTCAGACATATTCTTGGTGGATCACTTTCCGAGCATTTCCTTCTTTTTGTGTGTTTTTTTTCAGAATTTTTTTTTTCCATGATTTAGCAGAACATGCTGGTGGTCCTGCTCAGTACAATCATTCCTTCTGAAGCAAGGTCCCAGTTGCGAAGAGGATTGGATTAAGCCCCTGAATCTGGATGGGTTTCAAGCAGAGATGCAGAAAAGAAGAGCGGTCATCATATTCTGCACCTCTCCGCAAAAACACGTCCAGGTTCAGGTGATCAGTCAAATCCCCTTTGCTCCCGCCGCCCCCCCCTTCCCCCTCGTCTTCTCCTGGAGATGGCTCAGGGGCTACATATGCAGGATGCTTTCCTTGTGGAACAAGACAATATCTCCTCGTCCTGGAGGAGGCTACCCGCTTCCCGCGAGCGTAGCGCACCGTGATTATGAATGTATATAAGGCATCTTTCCAGTCTGATACAGTCATGTAAGCACGCTTTGTGGTCCCGGAAAGACAGGAGGTGAGACAATGGATATGCATCCAGGATAACCAAACCTGCGACAAGTCGAAGAGCCGAAGAAAGGGGAAAAAAAGAAGTGTGCAAACAACCCAAACCCAGAAACATACGACCCGAAGGGCCTTGCTCCACTACTCAATATTGGACACGTATCTGGACTGCGTTATGGACTAGATACGTTTAATGGTTTAGGTAACTGATGGGAGATTTTGAATGTATTGAGACCACTAAGCTGCAGATGCCTTTCGGATTTTCTGCAGTGAAGCACGGCCCAACCGGCTCAACGGCCGTTGCATTGCTCGTCGTGTTTTTCTTTTTCTTTTTTTTTTTTTTCTTTTTTTTCTTTTTTTTTTCTTTTTTTTCTTTTTTTTTTTNTTTTTTTTTTTTTTTTTTTTTTTTTCTTTTTTTTCTTTTTTTTTTCTTTTTTTTCTTTTTTTTTTTGCCTGAATGGACGAGGCAGGAGGGCGGTGCTGCAGTGATGTTGCTCATCTGATTCCATCTGGATTCCAACTCAAAAGTTTTTGTTTCGAGTCTTTCGACAGTTCGTGGGTGTACCAACTGAGCTAACCCGGTTGGTGCGCTGGAGTGACGTGATCACTCTGGTTCGTTTTTGTGCACATTATGTCAGTCCTCGAGATCAAGGCCGCGCATGATGTGCTGGCATTTTTGGTTTTGTTGGCATTTTCACTTTGCAAGTTTTTTGGTTCTAACATGAAACATATGTTTTAGTTTTCCTTTCCCGTTTTCTGTTTTTGGTTTCCTGTTTTTCGTTTTTTTGACATTTTTTTCCTAGGCTACCAGAGTGCCCCCGGACCACTTGCCCGGCCAGGCCAAAAACATTTTATTTTATTTTTTAATCCGGTAAAGATTTTATTTTTTTTTTTCCCAAAAGAAGTTCAGTTATTATTATACAAGTTGGGAAACGGGCCCGGCGTCCCTTCCAAAAAGTGGGCGGACCGCCCAATCGAACACGGCATCATCGGCCAGGCCCAAAAGGGTGTCCACTGTAACGGTTGTCTCGTCCAACCCACCTACTCATGTAGATTCTATCTTTCTTTTTTTTTTTTTTTTTTTTTTTTTAAACTCAAATCCATTATACAGGTCAAATTGAGGCTGGATTCTATCTCGTAACTGTACTACCATTATAAGCCTATCATAAAAAACGTTTTTGAAAGGCAAGCCCAAAACAAGGACCAAAACAAGGAGAGGCTCAAACGAAATGCAAACAAAGGGGCAACCAACAACATGGAAACAATGTGGCCGTGAGATGTTCACCCAAAAAAAAAAAAAAAAAAAAAAAAAACCTTGTACGGCCGGACCGCCCGGGCAATCAAAGGTGACCCGGGCAGCCCGGCCGGTTGCCTAGCATTTTTTGCCTTTTTTTGGCTTTTTTTTGTTTTTTTGAACTTTCCTTTCTCTTTGTTTTTCCCTTCTTTTTCTTTTTTGGTTTTCCTGGTGTTAAGCTGGTAGCGTGCATCGGTGCTCTGAAAACTCTCTCTTGGCGAACAGTCCACCTGCACCCGAACAGCTCTGCTTGAAAGGACAGAGTGGCAGAAGGGCAGTACTTGTGTGTGTGAGTGAATGCGGGAGGCAGAAGGGGGGATGCTGAGGTATGGCCGCGAGGCTGCTTCAGTTCATTTCGTGCTCATTGTATCCTCTGTGAGAGAAAAGGCGCACGTAATGTGCTATTTTACCAATTGTGCTAAATGAAGTGTTCATCCGTTGGTTCATTCTTGACGCAGGTCGCTCAGCTCCGCGTTGAAAACACAAGCCTCGCAAAGAGGCTGACCGACATTGGCCAGAAGTTCAGCGAAGCGGCTGTTGACAACCGAGTGCTGAAGGCTGACGTGGAGGCGCTCAGTGCAAAGGTCCGCATCGCGCTGCACATGGCTGGCCTGCAGGATGTGTACAGCACAGAGCTGTGTAAACCAAGGGTAAGGTTCTGGACCTTCTGGTTCACCTGTCCTTTTAAGTTTCAATTTTTTTTTTTCTCTCTGTCGTGTGCAACTTTTGGCTCTCTGTGTCCCTCCTCTTTTCTCTTTTCTTTTCAGACTCTCTGGTATCTGGAAAGACGAACCCCCTCCCCCGCCTGCCCTTCCACCAACCCAAAAAAAAAAAAAGGGAGGAGGGGAAAAGGACAAGGAATGCATGTACAGGACACACATCAGATCGAAATGACTTACTGCGTTAACTTTCATTTTGCGTGCTGTTCCCTAATCGCAGGTCCAGCTCCATAAGCTGGGAGAATTCTCACGCCCGGGCAGTTCTGCCCGGCGGCCGGGCACCCGGGCGGGCAAAAAAAAACAGAACCTTTTTTTGTGTGTGTTTTTGGTTTTCTGCGCTCTCCTAGAGGACCCCAAATTCCGGGCTCATTCCTTTTTTTGCGAGTTGGCTGTCAAGGGGGGGGGAGGGGGGTATAAATTGGTTCTAAAGGGGCTAAAGGGGTTTAAAGGGGGGTGCCTTAGTGTGATTCTGTTATTTTCTTTTTTAATCTCTGATTCTGTGGGGAATTCTAATGTGACCCTCAGCCAAAAGTCCTTTGTATTGCAATTCTACAGAACATATATTTTTTTCCGGAATGTTTTGATTTTATTATTATTATTATTTTATTTTATTTTTTTCCGCTGGGGCTGCCTGGAACCCTGCCCGAGGGTCATGCCCGGCCGTGTACCGGGGCATTTGTTGGCTTCCCGGGTGCCCGGAAAAACAGCCTAGTCCACAAGTTCTTTTTTTTTTTGGACAATGCGTGTCATCCTTGCACAGGGGCATGCTACTGTCTTCACCCGAATATAGCGTCCGGTCATTATAGCTGTATTTGGCACAACTTTCAGCCCAGGTACGGCGATAATTACCGGGCGTTCTATTCGGGTGAAGACGGTAGTCTTCTGTGCACCCTTCGAATGGATGTCGGGAAGGACAGTCCTTTGACTTTTTCCAGTTTTGACTCCGTTGACTTTTCAAGCTTACTGAGTCTCCACCAGAGTAAAGCCTCACATGATGTGCTACTTTTCCTTTACATGAAATATGTTTTCATTTTTCGAAATCAATTCTGAATGATCGGGTCCTGCTCAATATCATAATGTAAGAATGAGCTCTTTTTTTTTTTTTTTTTTTTTTTTTAAGGCTAAGAATCAGTTTTGACAACAATGTCAAACTTTACAACTCAAGAAGAAGTGGATTTAGATTAGGAGAGGAGGAAGTAAGAACGAAAGGAAGGAGAAGAAGAAGAAGAAGAAGAAGAAGAAGAAGAAGAAGAAATGATCGAACAAATGTCATCCCCCTCCTCTCTCGACCATCAGAAGCCTTGAAATAATTGCTGCTAGTCCTTATTTTTACGATTAAATACAAAGATGTAATCGAACTCGACTTCTTCACACTTGTCATGCATGCAAACAGCGAAACAGCAAACTGGCGACATGCGCCCACACAGTACTCAAAGATATCGTAACCAGGTAAGAGTTCTCTTCAAACTGGCTATGGCGACTGAGCGCCCACACAACTCACTGTTCGCACTCTGGATCACCCTGGATGTCCCACACGCACAGTGTTCATACCCAACACACACACAGTACACACACTCTGCACTCTACACTGAGCTATGGCAGCTATGGCTGCCACTACCTATCGCTATGACTACAGTGCTTCACTCTTGCCCCCTTCGTCTTCGGGCCTCCAGCAGACCTCCTTGCACTAGACGCTGTGGCAGCGCTACCGCATGGCTTCCGCCT